GAACTATGCAGTTTGAATGCATATCAAAGCATACTGTTTGATCTTTTTTTTCTTCTGTTGTGTTTTGTTTCCTCTTTCTGGTGGTTCCTCCTATTGATTCTAATTCTTACTTACAACATCACTAATGCGAAAATATGTTTAATAGAAATGTATATGTATAACATATATTAGATTGTGTGTCATCTTGAGGAGGGAAGTGGGGAGGGGGAGAAAAAGTTAAAACTCAAAAGTTTATGGAAATGATTGTTGATAAATCAAAATAAACTAATTTTAAAAATAATAAATAAAAAAAACCTCTTGAAACATAAAATGAGGAAGATGAAATAGATGATTTCCAATGTGTCTTTAGTTCTAAATCCCTCAGTCCTATATCAATTCACCGTCTAAGCCTCAGTATTCTTAACTGAAAAATGGGGATAAAACTTCCACAACTTACCATTGCAGAGGGATCATTGTGGGGGGAAATATGCACACACACACACACACACACACACTCACTCACACACACACACACTCACTCACACACACACACACACACACACTTTGTGAATCTTAAAGCTAGGTGATGCAGTGAATATAACACTGGGCCTGAGAACAGGATACCCTGAGTTCAAATTTAGCCTCGGACACTTACTAGCTGTGTAAACCTGGTCAAGTCACTTAACCTCTGTCAGTCTCAGTTTCTTTATCTGTCAGATGAGGATAATAATAGGACCTACCTTCAGGATCAAGTGAGATAATATTTGTAAAGCACTTGGCAAACTTTACAGTGATATATAAATGCTAACTAATGTTACTTAAAGGGATAAATACCTACTAAGTATCTATTACATACAAAGTACTATGCTAGGCAGTGGAGATAAAAAAGTGGATACGATCCCAGCCCTAGTCACACGGAACTTGGAATTGACAAATTGACAAATAAGCATATTCCAAAGGGGAAGTTCAGCAAAGCACCATGAGAATATGAAGGAGAGATAATTTGCAGCTATGAGTCAGGGATGGCTTTAGGACACCTCCATTGGACTCCCTGTCAAGGGAGGGGATTCAACAGTTAAGATGAAGTAGGGAGTTGGAGCTGGAGTGCAATAAAAACAGAAGAGAAAAGGGATAAACAAAGTTTCTGGTTTAGTGGAAATTGGGGAGTATGTGGAGGGGACAATGGGGGGAGGGGTTAAGGGGAAGTAGGAAATCATTTGAGAAGTGCCTTAAATGCCTTAAAATACTCTACTACTTAGGCAATGGGGAGCCACTGAAGAAATTTCTTAGCAAACTCAATATGAAGAGTAAATTAGGAAGATTACTTGGGCAGCAGAGTCACAATCTCTCTGGACTTCAATTCCCTCATTTATAGAATGAGGGGGCAGCTCAGTGGCACAGTGGATAGAGTACTGGGCCTGAAGTCAGAAAGTCTCATCTTTCTGAGTTCAAAGCTGGCCTCAGACACTTACTAGCTGTGTGAGCCTGGACAAGTCATTTAACCTTGTTTGCCTCAGTTTCTTCATCTGTAAAATGAGTTAGACAAGGAAATAGCAAACTCCTCGAGGATCTTTGCCAAGAAAACTCAATGAGTCCACAAAGAGTTGGACTACTAAACAACAACAGAATGAATAGATTAGGAGTTAACCTGATGTCAATTAAATTGTTTTTTTAAATATTTTGATAACTGTACTTCAGTATAATTGGTTTTCTTGGTAATGCTATGTATTTCATTCATGGATTAAAAAACAATCTTCTGACAAGGGTTTCATAGACTTCATTAGATTGCCATGACACAAAAAAGGTTAAGAGCCCCTAGACTGGGTTATTGCTAAGGTCCAGTCTAGCTCTAAAATTCCATGATTATAGCAACGATTTTCTACTTAAGAGCTTCCAAGACAGAGTTCACAGTGACAGACTGTCCCCCATGCCTGAGATGCATTTCCTCCACACCTCACCTCACGGAATCCCTCTTTTCCAAATGGCAGCTCAAATATCACGTTCTATGGGCAGCCTTTCATTATCTTTCTCCCACCCTCCAACAAATACTAATGCTAGTTAGCTAATGCTAACAAAATTCTGTTGCATTTAACTACTTTAACCTATGCTTATACTTATTCACCTTATATTTATGCTGTATATTTTTTTATATAGACTCGTCTCCTTCACTACAAATAGGATTGTTTCATTCTTTGCACTTGAACTCCAGTACCTAACAGGTCCCAGCACTAAGTAAGAAGGTACTTAATAAATACTTATAGGCTGATCAATTTGTAGTCAGAGGGCCTCAGTACCAATCCTGGCTCTGCCACATGCTACCTTTGTAACCTTGGGCAACCTCTTGAAACTCCCAGTTTCCTCATCTATAAAACGAGAGTTTTGGACAAGATGGCTTCTAACACTCCTTCCAACTCTAAATCTATGGTCCTACAGTTCAGTAGTACTTATGAAATACATGAGAGAAGCTAGAGACACAAGATTACTCAAAACATAAGTCAGTCAATCAGGCTAGAAAGAAGGGTGTCCTTCTTAGGAAATAAGGATGGATAGGCAGGTCGTAGAACCTCTAAGGTCAAGACTAGAGTTTTTTCTGTAGGCAAGGGAGATCCATTATATGTTTTTGAACTTGGGATTGACATGATGAAAATGGCACTTTGGGAAGATTATTCTTCTACTGGCATATGACTATAATGGAACAATATTGTATCATAAGAAATGACAAAAGGGTTGGTTTTAGAGAAACCTAGGAAGACTTCTATGAACTGAGAAGAACAAAGAGAACAATGTATACAGTAACAACATTACAGAGAAAACAACTCTGAAAGACTTGAGAACTAACTGATCCATGCGATGGGCCAACAATAATTCCGGAGAACTAAAGATGAAACTTGCTACTTACCTCTTGATATAAAGGTGATAGATTCAAGATGCTGAATAAGGCCTACAATTTTTGGACACAACCAATGTGGGAATTTGTTTCACTTGGCTTTGTTTATTTGTTATAAGGGCTTTGATTTTTTTTTCTTTTTTCTTCTCAGTGGCGGAGAGTGAAAATGCGGGAAGGGATGGGATAGAATGATAGGGGGAAAAAAAAAAGTAAGATCACTAAGGTATTTTTTAATGGAAAGAAAGGAATTGAAGGAAGACCAGAGAGAGGTAGGGAGAATTTATAGGCCAACTTTGAAAGCTACAAATTGAACTTACTATATACCTAAAAGGTAAAAGCAAGCTGGATATAATAAAGCATTTCATATCCAATCTTCTTTTTCTCTTCTACTATATATAATGCAAATGGCCATCCTATTTGATGTTTGTTAAATTAAAATTTTTTAATTTAAAAAATTAAAGTACTTCCTCACAAAACCCTGGGCTCCTACTACCATATGATTTTGCATGTCACTTTTCCTCTATGGGACTTCAGCTTCCTATCTACAAAAATAATCTCTGAGGTCCCTTCCAATCTCCAAATCCTATTTTATCCTTCAGAAATAACTATACAACTGTAGTACCAATTACTGAGATTCAAATTGACCTGAATGCCAGCTGAAAAATTAAAAAGGCATTTTGATTAAAAAATATGTTGGGGAAAGGCCAGTTTACTTTTATAAACTTTTCTTTTCAAACACCTGTGCAATAAGTAAATAGTTAATAATAAATAATAAAATAAATAGATAAATAATAATAAAATAATAACATAATAAAATAATAACATAATAAAATAAAAAGATACAAGAATTAAACAGGGCCTACTTTGGCTATTCCCATCTTTAAGAAATGCAATTTTGGGGCAGCTATGTGGCGCAGTGGATAGAGCACCAACCCTGGATTCAGGAGCACATGAGTTCAAATCCAGCCTCAGACACATAACACTTACTAAATGTGTGACCTTGGGCAATTCACTTAACCCCACTGCCTAACCAAAAAAAAAAAACAAAAAAGAAATGCAATTTTTAAAAATATATTTTAAGAGGTCCAATGAGTCGTGCACATATATATCATGGCTGAAGTATTGATCAGGAGTCCCCCATCTCACTTAATGGAATTGCCCCAATCCAGTCAGTGAAATTAAGGCCTTATAGTATCTGTTGTTAGCATCCTCCCCTTCTACTTTTTTTGATGGGAACGGTAATTTCATTTCATTGATGTAGAAAGTCTCCATTGAGGAATTTCTTTCCTCATATAGATTGGCATCTTCTTTGCAGTTTATGGTCTTAGATAGAGAATTCTTAATCTGGGATATACAAACTTTTTAAAAAATATTTTGATGACCACATTTCACTATTTCATTTCCTCTGTAATCCTGTATATTTTGTTTTATGCATTCAAAAATATTATTCTAAGAAGAGGTCCATGGACTTCACCAGATTGTGAAAGGGGGTCATATGGCATTTTTAAAAGGTTAAGAATTTTGACCTTAGAAAGTTTCCTTGGGGCTTGAAAGGTTAAGTGACTTGGCCAGGGTCACACATTAGTATGTGTAACAAGCTGCCTTTGAAACTAGTTTTTCCTGTAATTTCAATAGGCCAGCAAATGTTCAGCCTGTTAAGAAGAAATGACCACTTGCTCTAGGTTTCTACTAGGACTCCACAAATAAAAAGATTTATGTAATTCTCTACCAAGATAGCAAATTTTGAAAGACAGAAGAATCACGGAGGCGATTTCTTTTGGTTTCACTTTCAGAAGTGAAACAAAACAGGCTGTTTAAGGAGTCTCAGAGCCATGATGGGGGAGGGGGTGCTTTGACAAAGGGCAGTTCAGCAAAGAGGGCATTTAGCAAAGTGACTCTCAGGCAGATTTATTCTCTGTATCCCTACTGTCAGTTAGTGCCCAGCTGAAAGGGGCTGGCCATCCCACACCCGCCAGAGCGCCACTACCCGGCAGTAAACTGTGCCAAAGCTGTACCTTTGCCTGACAGTCCTTACAGAGAGCAAAGGATTTGCCCCTCCACTTCTGGCAGCTCAGAGGCCTCAGGCTTCCAGGTGGTTCCCAAAAGATTCCCCCATTACCTGCCTGCCCCATACCTCTAATCTGGGCTCCTATACGTTGAGAATGCAGGACCAGCAGGGGCAGGGCAACGAAAGCAGCAGCAGCAACAGCTCCGGCCACACAAATAGTCCCTCTAGGCTACAGAGCAATCACACCGAGGAGGTGGGAGTTACCTCGAAGTCCAGGCGGGGCCACTGGCACCAAACAGGCTCTCTCCTTTTCCTGGAAGTCACGTGAAGATCGGTGGGAGGGAAAGGAAGAGAAACACCCAGTAGCTAGTAGTCTTCTGTGTCCCCTTTGAGTCAGTTCCTTCTCAAAAGGCCGTTATGTGGAAATGGAGTTTCCCAACTTCCCAAAGAGTTTGTAATTCCGTAAGTCCACCGTGGGATTTCTCATTTCCCTAAAAAAAATGCCCAGGTTGAGAAGCAAGTGGTGAGAGGGAAGGAGAGCAACCAGAGTTTGGGGTTTTTTATTTGTTTGTTTTTTGCATTCGAATTGCACCTAGGACTGTTATTGGGCTTTCACTTTACAAAAAGCATGACTTTGTTTCAAAACAGGTTTTGTTTTGGTTTTTGTTAGTTTGTTTTAATTAGTGTATGGAATGTTGGCCTGGGGCCATTGTTACTTTAATGACTGAACTTCATCTTTTTTCTAATTAAATATTTTTCAATTAGTGAGTATTTATTTTTCTATTCTCCTTCGACCTCCCGTTGAAAAAGAAAAAAAAAAAACTTTTGTAACAAAGATACATAGTCAACCAAAACAGATTCCCCCTTTAGCCATGTCAAAGTATGTACCTCTCTTTCTGTACATTGAATCCATCACCTCTTTGTCGGATGTGGACAGCATTATTCATCATTAGTCTTCTGGAATGGTGGTTGATCAAAGTTCCTAGGATAGACTATATGCTACTTAAGTATTTCCTTTAAAAAAAGAAAAGATACCTTTTATGTCAGCAAACATAGAAAGAAACCTCAAAGTAGAACCATAGATTTAGAGCTGGAAGAGACCCTAAAGGTCATCTAGTCCAGTTCTCACTATAGTTAATTCATCCCAGGCCACCAAACCAGACTATGCTTTACATCCCATCCAGCTATCCACCCCTGCACCCAGAAGAGTAATGGCTCATTCATTCATTCAACTTTCATTTTACTGATGAGGAAACTGAGACCCATCCATGGTGGTTAAATGATGTGCCCAAGGTCAAATAGGCAGTAAGCATTAGAGTCAGGATTTGCATCTAGGTCCTCAAGACAGTGCTCTTTCTGAATCCCAAAGCATTCAGTCAACAAGCATTTATTAAACATATACTGTGTGCCAGACACTGTACTAAACACTAGGGATGGAAAGGCAAAAACAGTTCCTGCCTTCAAGGAATTCACATTCTAATAGAGAAGACAGCACATATACAATGGTGGATCAGGAAAAACTTCTTGCTGAAAGTGAGATTTTTAGCTGATATTTGAAGGAAATCAGGTAAGTAGAATATGAAGATCGTGAAGTAGGATGTCTATGGAACATCCAGTTTGAGATGGCAAATAGGCAGTTGGAGATGCTAAAATATTGGTCAGAAGAGATTAGGGCAAGATAAATCTAGAATCCTCTGTACAGATATGATAATTAAATCCATGGGAGCTGAGCACCAAGCAAAATAGTATAGAGCAAAAAGAAAAAAGAACCCAGGAAAAAGCCTTGGGGGACACCCATTATTTTCTGGCATGACCTGAATGAAGATTCAGCAAAAGAAAGCAAGAATGAGCAGGCCTACAGGTAGGAGGAGAACCAGGAAAGATCAGTATTGAGAAAATCTAGAAATAAGACAGCATCAAAGAGGAGTGATTGACAGTATCAAAGGCTGCAGAACAGTCAAGAAAGACAAAGACCATTAGATCTGACAATTAATAGGCTATTGGTAACTTGGAAGAGAGCCTTTTTGGTTGAATGATGAGATGGGTAGTCAAATTGTAGAGAGTTTGGAAGAGTTAGAGAAAAAGAAGTGGAGGCACTAAATGTAGATGACTATCTCAAGAAGTTTAGCCATGAAAGGGAGGAGAGCTATAGGACAATAGCTATTAGAGATGGACAGATCAAGTGAGGGGTTTTGAGAATGAGGGAAATATGGGCATATTTGTTGGCATATGCCAACTGGAAAGTGCCAGTTAACAGGAAGCAATTAAAGATTAGTGAGAGAGTAGGGATAACTGAACTACATTCCCAAATAACTGCTAAGTAAAATTTTCTGTAGCGTGATTGCAGCAGATGGTACAAGTCACAGTAACATTTTACTGTTTGTGAACAGGAGGGATGCTCTAACTTTAATAATTTGGTACCATTATTATGCATTTTACTTGACTAGAGTTTTGCTGCCATCTAATGTGTCTAAAATAGTTATAATCTGTGTATACAATATTCCTTTGGCTCTTTCTTCACTTGGTATCACTTCAGACAAGTCTACCCATGTTTCTTTGAATTGTTCGTATTTGCTTCTCCTAACTTTGCAATAATATTCCATTGCATTCACATACCACAATTTATTTAGCCATTCCCTTGTCACCAGAAAAATTCTTTCCATTTTTTTCATATGATAAATAATGCTACTTCTGTGGGCATTTTCACATGTGTGGATCTTTTCTTGCTGGCAGTAACCACCGTGGGGTTACAATGGTACAATTGCTAGGTCAAAAGAGACGAAAAATTTAGTAACATTTCTTGTGCAATTATAAACTTTTCCTGAATGGTTGAACCAGATTACAGCTCCATTAGCACTGCCAATATATTTCTGATTAATCTTTGGTTTATTTAAAAACACAAACCAGTGGTTCTCAAAATTTTATTCCTCGTGATACAAGACAGTAGCAGTATTCTTTGCTGGGAGGAATCAAGCATGTGCGTCTGATTGCAAATGTGAATTCCACACAGTTTGTGACAAACTTAACCAAAATTAGTGGCACATTAGTGTGTTCTCCCATCCCCACACACACTCTTTAAGAACCACTGATGTATAGACAGACAGCACTGATATGCTGTTTGGTTGTGTTAAAATGTCTTTTTTTCTCCTCTTTTTTTTTCATCTTGTTTAGAAGGAATGACTCCCTGTGTAAGGGAAAGGGAAAGAATATATTCTTAAATAAAGATAACATAGAAACAAAAGATACCAATAAAAATTAAAAAAAAATTATAGAGAGCAAAAGAAATTATAAAAAGAATAATCAGTCAACATGAATTTATTAAGCATCTACTTGGTGAATGAAACTGTGTATAAAAGTAAAAAATGAAATATGCCTTGCTCTCAAGGAACTTCTATTAGCAGAAACAATATTGTGTGTGTACATAATATGTATAAATATATACATACATGTCAGCATATATGTATATCATATATGCACACTGTGTGTGTGTACATTAGTGAGGGAAAGCACTGACACTTGGGGGGAATCAGGAAAGGCTTCCAAAAGAAAGTGATGCTTACACTGAGTTTTGAAGAAAATAAAGGATTCTATGAAGTAGAAATGAGGAAGAATGAGCACTGCATGCACAGATGATGCCTGGTGCCTAAGTCAGGAAGATTGCAAATGGAGTGCTGAGTACATGGAATAGATGAAAGGGCAATTTGGCTGGATTGTAAAGTGCAAGATGGGAAGTAATCTGTAATGAGATTGTCAAATTGCCTTTTAGACAGTTGGGGAATCCTTTAAAAATGATGCCACATGAATGAAATGGCATATTATTGGGGGATAAAAAAAATGACCAAAGAGACTCCTAAGTAGCATGAATTGACAGAATAAAGAGAGTAGAACCAGGAAAACAATTTATACAAGGACAGAAACATTGTTAAGTTATGATTTTTTTGGTCTTTTGCTATAATAAAAGATATTATGTTCCTTCAGCTACTTTAATCTTTTTTTTTTTCAAAGATGATCCTTTTCCTACTGGCTCTCTTCCCCTTTCCCCGAGCCCCTTTTTCTCATTTGTTACCGCTTTCCCATTGGGATTTTATTAGTTCCTTTTTCTCTCTTGAGTTTTTCTGGTTATATTCCCTTCTCATTTTTTTCCTCCCAGTTAGTCGATTCCCCTTCCTTTCCTCCCCTTCAGCTGATCCTATTCATTAGGGTTTTTTTAATTTCATTTTTTGCACATTTCCAAAAAAGAATTTCTGTCACTTTCATCATTATTCATCCTCTCTTTCTCACTACTCTAGACTCCCATTCTCTGATCCATGGCCCCTATAATTATCTGGTCTCTCTCTTTTCTCCGTATTCCTCAGCAGTAAGAGCTTCCAAGGTATCAGTTTTAGGCTCTCCCCTCTAGACACTTTCTATAACTGCCTTGTAGGGCTTGCCCCATAGATTTCTCTTTTCTGTTGTTCCACACTCCCAGAATAATGACAATTATTCAGGTGTCAGAGAGAACACTAGCCCATGGGAGGGCACCTCCACCACCATCTCTAATCTATAACCTCCCTTGGTTACCTTTTTTTCCCCCATTTTTGCCTCAAAGTCTCATCCCTAAGTCTATGTCCTCCTACTCCTTGAGGTGCTAGTTGGCTCCAGGAGTTCCAATCTCCTTCCTTCCCCCCGCCTCCATTTTGAAAGAGTAGACTTTTCAAGCACTGCATCCCGCTCATCCAGTATAAGGTCTGCATCTCCCTTTACAGACTATCTCTATTCACCCATAGAAGCATTCCTTAGTAGAACCCCCTCTTACCACAAGAGTGAGGCTTCCTTCCTTCCCCCTCCCACCCAGTCCCTTGTAGGCTCTTCTCTGTCTGAGATCACAGAGGTCACTTTGCCTTCATTGCTAGCCCTTGATTTGACCCTGGCTTATCATACACTCCTCTCTATTCCCTGCTCCCCTCCTCCCATTTCATGTAGTAACATAGTCCCCCCCCCAAAAAAAAAGAAGAAGAAGAAGAAGAAGAAGAAGAAGAAGATTCACCTAAAGGGTGTTATTTGGTTCTATCCATAATGCCTCAGTCTACCTCTTCACTGTTGGGCAGGTAGGTGGCACAGTGGATAGAGTGATGTGCTGAAGTCAGGAATTCTCATCTTCAGTTCAAATCTGACTTTAAACACTTACTAGCTGAGTGACTCTGGGCAAGTCATTTAACCCTGTTTACCTCAGTTTCCTCATCTGTCAAATGAGCTGAAGAAGGAAATGGCCAATCACT